GGTTTTCTGAAACATTTAAGCAAACATTGAGCGAGATGCTTTTTTAAATAATATAAAGTAATAAGTAGTTTGCAATACTAGAAAGCAACACCTGGAATAGTATATGACATGTAGGCGATAATAGTTTTGTATAATATGTGGAAGGCTGTGTACCTAATTGTTCTAGGATGATTTGAAAAACGAATTTGTCATGTTTTCACCTCAGTGATCTCCGAAACGATAGGAGATACGATACGGGTCGGTTGAATGGTGGCAAAGTTGCGTACATTTATATGTTTTAGAAAATTCATTTGAAAAGTGTTGACGTATCGCCAGAGATACACGGGAAAGGACTCGAATTTTCCCATAATTGTTTCAAACTTTTTCTGAGTTTAATTGGGATAGTATTTCAAAATAAACCGCTCATTGACACTGCCTATTTTTGATCTCTGCAAGGTGGTATAAATGTATGATTTTTCGTTTCTTATCCCCCGTTGCAACTTTGATTTTTCTCATGTATGCCATTTATGCATAGGCGAATAGCTTTTAATTCTGATTTCAAATATTATATTATGTTACAGCAAAAATGTTTCCCGAATAGGTCTGAAATTATCAGATTTATTTCATAGAATATCAAAGATGATAACATGTTACCCATTGATATAAAACTGCAAGTGCCTAACATCGTATAGTTAGGTTAGGCTCATCGAATGAGGAACAACATAATGTAACTCATGGAAAATGGTATAATTTTAACAAAATGAGAGCTGAAACGTCAGATAGAAATTATAATTATACCACCGTGTAGAAGAGAAAAAGTGGTGAAGTAATTGTGTAGTTTGTTTGAAATTTGTAGACAATGAGGATGTTTGATTAAGTTTTGTTTCGGAAAATAGCTAGCAAAAAATAAAAACGTCTTAGAGTCAATTCGGAAATACTTTGAATTTTCAAACTACGAGCGACGTCTTTTAAGTTTTGCATATGGAAATAAAACAACACGGTAGGTAGTTTTAAATGACTTCATTGTCTTTCGAAGTATTCTCCACGAAGATTAATACAAATCTGCATGCGCTCGAACCAATTTTCGAAGCACTTATTCCACTCGTTTGCTGGCAGATCCAAAACGGCATTTTTGAATGCGTCAACTGCTTCTTCTGGTGACTGGAACCTTTGACCACGCAGTCTGTTTTTAATTTTCGGGAAAGTAAAGAAATCGTTAGGACTTAGATCGGAACTATATGGAGGATGGTCCAATAATTCCACGTTTTCTTCCGTTAAATACTGCCTTGTTTTTTGGGCTTGCATTGTTTTGGTGGAGGATGATTCTTCTTTCGGGGTTGATTTTTCGAAGCTCGGTGAGGACTTTCGGCAAACAAATGGTGGTATACCAATCCGCAGTAACAGTTCTTTGCTCATAAAGAGGAATTGTTGCAATATGACCCGCCTTTGACATAAACGTCGCGACCATCTTTTTCGAAACACTTCGGATGACTTGTGTTGGCTTTTCTTCATTTTGACACACCCAAACAGCCGACTGTCGTTTATTTTCTGGTTCATAACAGTAAATCCACGATTCATCATCACTAATAATGCTGTATACATTTTTTGAGTTTCCGGAATTGAAACGGTCAAGCGTTTTTTGACACCAATTAACCCTGGCTGCTTTCTGCTCTTCAGTCAACAGGTGGGGTATCCAATGAGAAACTAATTTTTTACTCCTAATTCTTCATGTAAAATTTTTTGAATTGATGTCTTTGAGATCTTCAAGGACGCTGCAATCTTGCGATATATCATATGTCTATCTTCAATGATGAGGTTGCGCACAGCATCGACGTTTTCCTGGGTGACTGCTATTTTTGGTGCACCCACCCTGGAATCTTCGCTAAGACTCACCCGTCCACGTTTCAATTCTCCATACCAACGGGAAATTGTCGACTGATGTGGCGCTTTGTTGTCGAAAACAGATAGTAACTCAGCAAGGCATTCTTGTTGCGATAATTGTCTCTGAAAGTTGTAATAAATTATGGCGCGAAAATGTTCTCGGTTGAGTTCCATTTTTCTAATGACTTGGTGACACTTAAAAATTCACTGTAGTGAGAATACTGCACGTATTGCTGTGAAACTTTGAATTCAAGTTTACTAAAGAGTGAGGTTAAAATTCAGTACTGACGTTCCATCCGCGCGGCCTACTATGTTTCTATATGCAAAACTTAAAAGCTCCGTTTTCTGTTTACCTAAACAACTTACTCCCATGAAGTACTCTGGATCTTTTATTCGAAATGTCACAAGATCAGTATTTACTGTAATCGGTCAATATATTTATCATGAGATGTGGTATACAGTGTGTCCCAGATTCGCTTCTCTATACAGGGATCTCGACTCCTGTTATACCTGCAGCACAGATTAAATGGGAAAAGTTTTAGGGGAAACTTATTACTGCATCTCATAGCCGGCTTTAGATTTACGACCGGTCAATTGGTTTTGGAAATATAGGCGTAAAACCGAAAATGTCGAGTTTCGTTTTTTGCCAGTTAATCCGAAACGGAAAATTTGACAGCTGTCAAAATGTAACATTATTCGGGCATTTTTATAAGGCAAATAAGACAGCATGTATGACAATACATGTCTCAATCGTATTTTGTTTTTCCCGCAACCTGCCTCAACTTTCATTTTTCATATGGCCGCCATATTGGACTTTTCGATTTTTGAAAAGAGCGTAAAATTTCCAGCCTAGTGATGTTGCACAAGTGCATAAAAGATTAGAGTATCATCGAAATATCATCACACACGTAATGTTATGATTTTTTTTTTTAAGGAGGCCATGATTTATTTGTCAGAAAATAAAATAAATAAGTAACGCATTTTTTTCATCTAAGGGCTCTGACTTTGACGTTAAGTAATTCTAAATTTCAAAATTGTGTTTTAATAGGTACTCGTAGTAGGTACGTTTGTGTTGAAAATCCCAATTTTGTAAATCATGCCTTATGGTCCGATGCGAATAGGTTTACAAATTGTGGAGTTTTAATAAGCATAACACTCATCATTGGCCTATGGAAAGCCCTCACCTTTTTTAATTGGGCACTTATTTGAAATTAGGTATTAATCGTTTCAGGAAATCGACTTAAAGGACCATTTTTGTTTGACTACAACCTAAACGGACAGAGGTACGTAAAACTTTTGCGAAACCAGGTTGTGCCAGCTTTACGATCGAGTCTAACCAAAGATGAGTTTAGAAGAACCTAGTTTCGACAGGATGGATGTCCGGCTCACAACACCATTCAAGTCAGAAGCTTCCTAAGAGACAAGTTCAATGAAAGAATAATTTCATTAAATGGTTCAATATCTTGTCCTCCTAGATCCCTGACCTTTCACCCTTCTCTTTCTTTGATTAGACAAAGAATGAGGTCTATGAATTTGATAATCGCGCGACCATAGAACATCAATAGAAATACACTAGCTAAGGTTGTACGTAAAACAGTCACCAATTGTCAAAAATATCTGAATGCAAATGGACTTTATTTTGCAAATCTGTAAATTAATACCCACTTGCAAAATTAGATTTTACAATACATTTCAGTTTTGTAAAATTTTTGTTTGTTCAAATGTAAAATAAATTTACGACGATTTTTCTGAATTGTTTTTTAACACACTCATAGTTGTGAATTTGTCCCAAAACATTTCACTTATTGAGAAGTCGATATTAACGTTAATATTCTATTGAAAATGAAAGGCGTTTTTATTTTTTTCTATGCATTTCTCATTAATGTTATCTTCTGACAAATATTTCTGTGAAACTCCAATCTTTTATGCACTCGTGACACATCACTAGACTGGAAAGTCTACACTCCTTTCAAAAATCGAAAAATCCAATAAGGCGGCCATAAGAAAAATGAAAGTTGATGCAGGTTTCGGGAAAACAAATGACGATTGAGACATGCCATATACGCTTATTTGCCTCAAGAAAATGTCCCAATAATGTCACATATTCACAGCTGTCAAATTAACCGTTTCGGATTTACTGGCAAAAAAACAAAATTCGACATTTTCGTTTTTCACCGATATTTCCAAAACCAATTGTCAGATCGTAAATCGTAAATTTAACCTTCGTTGTAGGTATAACAGGAGCCAAGATCCCTGTACAGAGAAGCCTAGTCGTAAATAATTATTGATGCATAATGTTACGCAGAAATCCACTTATAGTATGTATCACAAGAATACTGATCATGTGACATAGGCGCTTTACCGTTTCTGAGATTGCAAAGGCGAGGTTCGAATTTGAAACACTCGTAGGAAATAAAGTGCTTTTAGCAACAGAGGTTTCAACTCATCCCAGTAATTTCTCATCTAACACATATTCGGCTTGTTGAGAAGACGGCATGAATAATATAATTTCTGTAAAAAATGATCTAATGATATAGTGATGATTTAATTTTTGCCGGACTAGAGAAAAAAGGGGACACGTGCTCCAGTCGCGTAGGCTGCAACCTAAATACCAGGGCATCGCGACTACTATAAGAAACTTAACGACGCCTTGATAATCCTTTTGCGCTGCCTAAGGTTAGCAGAACTGAGATTAGCCACCTTAGACAGACTGTTCCACAATTTCGACACCACTGGAACGTAGGAGCAATATGTCTTATCTGCGCTTTAGCAGAGTGAGGAGGTTGTGCAGGAAAAGTACTTCTTAGCTTTAGTTACTACAAATAAGTATAAGCGTATACCTACTATTAAGACAGAATCGCATGAATTGCCTCTTAAATTCCACGATATACAACTAAAAGTCTACTACTTCAAGTCGAATCTCAAAGAATCTTTCCCAAGTCTAAGCTGATTCCATACCAATGACTTATAAAGCCCAGCCGAAAATGTTCTTCTACTTCACTTGCTTTCAAGAAAGTTTAATTACAAAGATTACCTTTGTGCCTTCGCCCATTGATCTGCTCGGCCGTTTGTTTAGGACAACCTCAAACGAACACTGCGAAAATTCAATTATGTTTACTAAACTATATTAAAGACATATTTATAAAGGGACTAAATGATATCTGTGATGTCAAATCGGATAAAACCTCTGAACCCTCCATGTCTGTCTGGCCGCTAAATGAAACCACATACAGGGTGAGTTTTTAATGCGTGCTTGGTCGATAACATCATTACACAGCTTGGTATCTAAAAAAGTTAATTACAAAAATTGTAGCCTACAGTATGTTCCTTACATGGCTAATACATAAGTACGTGCTTACCCAAACATACATTTTGCAAATTTGGTTAGGCACTTCCAGACGATATAGGGTCTTATTTCTGAATAATTTAGAGATAATTTGCAATCTTGCAAATTTCCTTCTTGTATACTTACTGTTCCAGATTTTTTGATAGACTACACAGGGTGGTCAAGACGCAGAACGAACGATTGCTCAAAATTTTTATTTTCGCACCTTTCGATCCTTCTTTCCACAAGCTTTTTTTCGATATAAGGCTTATCGGGGTTTGTAAGAATAGTTTTTGAATTACAGTTAACCCTTTGTAAATCAGATATCAAGGTAAATGAAAAATATTACAACACCTTTCAAAATAAAAGTAGCATTCAGTTAGTAGCAGTCGATGGTTAAAACTTGTATTATGCCATGTCGGAAATTTGAAGAGGTGTGCCTGGGTTCTTAGTAATTCAAAACACAGTTGTACCAGAAGCGTATATCAGAAAAAGCTTATGAAAATGTGACTTAGGAAGTATGAAAGTTTTGAGAAATTGTTGATTTTGCGCTATTTACCACCCTATATAAACTAACCAAAGCCTTGAAAAGTAAGTAGTTCGGGAGGAAATATGGGATCATAATTTTTTTCCAACGAAAAATTCTCTAGTTATAATACTTGCGGAGGTGAGAGTTGTCAAAATTGAATGTTTTTTTTTTGAGAGATTGACCAATATTTCAACAATTTGAAAATAAAACCCCATAGTAGGTATATCAGATTGCTTCGTTTGGAGAAGCCTATGCTTATATCTGTAATGAAATGTAGGTCTTTCCTTTCAAAAATATGTATGTGTGGGTCACCACGTTATTTATGAATCATCCTGTAAAAAAAATATTCTTCTTATGTTGGCTACAATTTTTGTCATTAACTTTTCTTAAGCCTGTACGTTTGAATTAGTTTACTGACACGGCGGTGACCTTTTTCAAGTACTGATGACAATATATATCATTTGTACCTTATGTTACATTTAGCGGCCAGACAAACATCGGATTATCAGCATGAAAACCACAGGACACGTTTTAGGTGATACATCAACCTTCATAATTTCACGAAGCTTAAATGTCTTCAACTTTTTAGATATAACAATAATTTTCTTCACTCAGCACCCATTGTCCTCAAGAACATGCAGTATGAAACCATAGTCTTCACAGTCTAAAAAAGACAGGAATTAAAAATAGACATTACAAAGACCAAAAAAGAATTGAAGATCCTAGCGTCATGTATAAGAACCAAACACCAAGTCTTCTCAAAGTAGATTTCTAAATGCATTTTTGTGTTGTCTCATATGTGGCGCTAGTGTCTTTCATATCACTTTTTGGACTCTAGAACAGTTGCTATCTTCAGATAGAATACGTTAGTCAATCTATTAATACAAATATAGCTTTCGAACGTCCGATCACAGACGACCAACCATGATCTATGAATAGTCTCAGGTAGGATGAAAGTTGACCAACCACTCTCAAAAGCTATATTACTAGATAGTTCAATGGCCAGTAGACCGTATCTACCATACCACCAGAATCGCCTTCATCTGGCGGCACAGTAGAATCCCGGCTTACAAATGCGAACTGGGAAACAGAAAAAAAAACCTTGCTGATTCACTCTCAAAGTGGTCGATTCTGGTTATAGATAGCCTGGTGCTCTGTCGTATCACGTTAGTCAATGCGACGCCGCAGCTTCGGGCTGCGATACTTACAGTTAAACTTGTAGCTAAATTGATATCAATCAAACCTCCAGCAGTAACTATGGCCTTCTTTTGACTCTGCATGATGACCAATTTGGTTGTACAACTGCGTGGCAGGTATTCGTACCAGTAGCTGAAGTATGCGCTATTGCCAATCTTAGAAGCCTGCCAAAAAATGAAAATCTGTTTAAAATTTTAAAACAGGAAATAGATAACAATTTTAGAACTGCTACCACAAACCATATTGGAAAATTTCAAAAAAAGTCCTTTCGATATTCGAGCCGTGTATTATTTGCATTGCTATGGTGTCTCTAGGTCTAGGGCAATGGAATCACTTCTTTGATCAAGGGTCAGGCCACTTTACTTATCGCAGAAATCTGTCAAAGTGGCATGTGTTTATGTTTGAGCACCTTTGCCAGCTTTTTTAGGAAATATTTCTTATTTTCAAGCGTCCGATATAACGTTTGACAGTATAGTAAAGACAAAACGGAGAAGGTTATAAATTGATTCATTTCTACTGATGCGTACAAAGTGTGAAACCTAAGCCAGACCTGTGTCAATATGATAAAAATGAGTCATATTTGGATCCATCGCCTGACGCCGTTTTATACAGCCAAAACAAATTCAAAGTCGGTGATACATGATCTGGACGATACAAGCATAACTTGGATATCAATTATCAATTAGCAATGAAACCCTCCTGTCAGTGTTAAAAACGGATGCCATTTCGGCGAAGAAAATCGCAAGTAAATTCTCCTAGTACAACGATGAAAGAGGTCTTAAACTTTCGTCTTCGTTGCCAATGCATTCTTTACAATCGTAAAAATTATAATATACCGATATGATCTAATGTAGTTTGTGTGAATTAATAATAAAAAGGAGTATGCTTAACAAAAAAAGCGACGGAGGAAATAAATGTGCAATGGTGAAAGGCTACAAGTATTAACAAACACGAAAAACGTCTGATCTATTCTTCACTAAGGCAATATTCTCAGTCCATTGCATTTTCAATGTAAACACTCAGAAATTCCAAGCATACGCGAGATTCACTGAAGTACAAGAATGTCCGTGTCTCTGTCGCGGAAGAATAAAAGGGAGAAACCACCAGCAAAGTGACAACCAACGGAATCTAACGTAACACTGCTGACAACAATTTCTCAACTTGGACGCTTCTACGTACTGGGGCAGTTTTTAATGTGTCCGATATTTTAAGTACCTAAACAAGTTATTTATAAACTTTGTAGGCATCTACACCCTCCTTAGTTGGCAAATATGCCGCTTTCCACAGCGTGATTTATACGTACATGACAAAACAATTATACATTTTTTTTAATTGAATATCCAATATATTTTAGTATATTTTAAAATGCCTTCTTAAAAGCAGAAGTTTGATAGAGCATTCAATAGGGTTTGCATTGCTAATTCTTGAGCTACGGGATATTTTATACGAAAAAAACATTGAACTTTGACAGCTTGTAAGTCAGTCACTTTTGCATATAAAGTATCTCGCTTTTTAAGAAAGTGAACTTCATATTCCACACAATTGGAACTGCTTCATCATCACAGAGCGTTGGTACCCTCAAACGCGCGGACCCGTAACATTTGCTACTCTTGCTAATCGCCACTATTTGATAAGAAACCATAAAAGACATTCACATTTTGTTCTGAGCCCAGATTAACATTTAACTAGAAGTTTTAAGGATCAGTATTTATCAGTAAAACCAAATCTTTTTGCACTAATATTTTTTTATTTTTCGCTCATTCTAAAGAAATGAGGTGTTCGGTAAATAAATAATAATAAAATATGGTATATAATTCTTGTTTAGAGCGAAGAATAAAAGAAGGATATTCCACTTGATATAAAATTAACATATGTTTTTGTTGTCACTTAATTATGAATCACTCTACAGAAAGCAGCATATAATCCGAATAAGGAACACATTTGTCTACAATTTTTGTAACTATTTTTGGTTCATATATTTAAATCCTCAAAGCTATCGACCGACTACACATAAAAACCGGCCCTGTGTGTAGACGTATCCTAGATCAGAAGTTGTTGTCAGAAGTGTCGGGTTAGATTACATTTTGAGTACGTTGGTTATCACTCTGCTGTTGGTCTGCTCCTGTTTTTTTTACAACAAATACGCGGAAATTTGTGTGATTTAGTAAATGTTAACAGTGTCTACGTTGAAAATGCAATGGATTAAGAATATGGTGATGTATACATAGCAAAAGTTAAGGTAAGACTATACTTTAGCGCATATCTCTAATATTTTATTTCTTATTTTAAAATGAAAGACTAGGATGTAACCTTTACGAAAATATCATTTTTCTTTAAGGAACCCACTGTTTGCTATTTTATAGAAGTTCAAAGTTCCAGTTTTGGTGGTAATATTCTAGAATGGAATACTGTTTCATACGCTGGTTTTTTTGCTTTTTCACAAGGGGGATGGCCTGAATTATAAGAATATTAGCTGACCCGACAGACTTTGTTCTATCTTAGCTATAAACTGGGATGAATAATTAATAATAAAAGGTTAAATATATGGAATATAGCGAAGTATCTGTACCGCCATGTGGCTAGCAAAATACGTTGGCAGCACAGTCAACTTACCTTGGAAGTACGCATAAAATTATGTGGAATGAATTTTGTAGCGCCAAATGACGTAATTTGAAAGCATTTATTGTATTGCTGGATGAGTCTAAAAAGGTATAGAATCTAACCGATTTCTGGACACTAATGAATGTAGTGGATCTGGTGGTGGTACCAATGGAGTCAATTTGTGGAATGAATTTTGTTGTGCCAAATAAAAATGTTTTATAAAGTATCCTCCCGACAAGTATTTCAGTGCGGACCTGTATTTGATCGTGAGGTCCCCTGTGAGGTCTTAAGTCACTTGATTCACGAGCCCGTTGTACTACATTAACAAAGGCACGAGGGGTTGGTTGCACTCGATTGGGAAACCGATCCGCATAAACATGTGCCATTTTTTATTTCGTTTGAGCCACGCAACAGACACTATTCACACGCCTTACCGACTGACACTGACTGTATGTATAACTGAACTGAAGAAAATAATTGTAAAACATCGTTCCAAATTCTTTCGCTTTTTTGTTTCCGATGCGATGAACCGAGGCGAATTATATCCGTTGTTGCCAAAAACGAGCACATGATATTACGAGTATTATTGAACAGGGCGGTACTCAAACTTCCAAAGGGCTATAACTTTGTTACTTTAATTTTACCAGAAAAATGGTAAAGGAAAAAACATTTCTTTTGATCAGATCTACTCACTGTTAAAATAAATGACTCAACTTCGATGTCACCCTGTATATCTTTGACTTGCAGCATTGCGAGTTCTCCGACCTAGACTGGTACGTCTAATTGGTGGCATTTTGAGGAATCACAATTTTAATATAAGGCGTGATTGCGGTGAACTAACTTCCACCCTTGTCGCTTGTTTTTGAACAAATACTTCTCAAAAAACTCAGTGAACAAACTGAAAACTGGATACAAGCTCTAATCGTGCAATACTAATTAAATTCAACAATATGTTTTTATCGATAAACACTGTTAAACGATAATATAAATGTGCGTCGTGCGAGCTGCCAAGTCCAAAATGACAGACTAGTGAAAGTCAATTAAGCAACTGAAACGTATTTTCATCCGTCATTTTTATCCATAGAGTTAACTGATAAAGATAATAATCAGGCAACACTGCAGTTTATTTTGGAGATGCCATCACAAAGTACAGAAGGTAAAGAAATGTAAGTTCAAAAACGAAAGCACCGTGTCTTCATAAGCGATTTTCTCTCACATAACTAACTGAGTACCTGTCTCTTTTGGTACTTGACTCATTTCTTTTGCTGTGCGTGTTTTATGCTCAAGCAAATTGTTACGATAAGTGATGTCCATTGTTGCCTAGTTGTACTTTTTTTGGGAGAAATACGTAATAAAAAATGATGTTATTTGTAAAATAAAAGTCTTAATTTATTATAAATGGCCTATTTTATGAGAATTTATCCCAATATTTACTGAAAATTAGATGAAACTTTGAACAGTACGTGTCTAAACAGTGGAAAATGCATCAGCAGCTCGCGTGACAAGAAATACAAAAAGCATCAGCGGTCATTGCACATAAAAATACCCTTCTTCGATTCGTCGATTTGAACCATGTCGCCAGGTCCACCCAATATATCATCGTCGCACATTAAGGTTAAATGAACATCAGCGACCATTTCATCGAATCAGCAAAAAACTTGCATGCTCTTCTTTGTTATGTTTTCATTATTTAGTGACTGTCAATAGCTAGTAAGTAAGTAATTTCTCATATATACAGGGTGACTTCGAAGTTGAGTCATTTATTTTAACAGTGAGTAGATCTGATCAAAAGAAATGTTTTTTTCCTTTACCATTTTTCTGGTAAAATTAAAGTAACAAAGTTATAGCCCTTTGAAAGTTTGAGTACCGCCCTGTCTAAATAATAATATTATGTGCTCGTGTTTGGCAACAACGGATATAATCCGCCTTACCGGTTCATCGCATCGGAAACAAAAAAGCGAAAGAATTTGGAACGATGTTTTTACAATTATTTCATTCAGTTGTATACAGTCAGTGTCAGTCGGTAACGCGTGAGTGAATAGTGGCGTCTGTTGCGTGGGTCAAACGAAATAAAAAATGGCACATGTTTATGCGGATCGTTTTCCCAATCGAGTGCAACCAACCCCACGTGCCTTTGTTAATGTACAACGGGCTCGTGAATTAGGTGACTTAAGACCTCACATGGGGACGGCATGCCGGTGCTCCAAGACCTCACGATCAAATACAGGTCCGCACTGAAATACTTGTCGGGAGGATACTTTATAAAACAAGGTAAATTTTTTTTTATTTTTACACACATATTTTGGTTTATCCTCCTTCTACAATCATTATCTGAAAATTAATGACTCAACTTCAAAGTCACCTTGTATACATATATACAGGGTGACTTCGAAGTTGAGTCATTTATTTTAACAGTGAGTAGATCTGATCAAAAGAAATGTTTTTTTCCTTTACCATTTTTCTGGTAAAATTAAAGTAACAAAGTTATAGCCCTTTGGAAGTTTGAGTACCGCCCTGTCTCAATAATGATATTATGTTCTCGTGTTTGGCAACAACAGATATAATCCGCCTTATCCGTTCATCGCATCGGAAACAAAAAAGCGAAAGAATTTGGAACGATCTTTTTACAATTATTTTCTTCAGTTGTATACAGTCAGTATCAGTCGGTAGTCGGTAACGCGTAAGTGAATAATCGTGTCTGTTGCGAGGCTCAAATCAAAAATGGCACATGTTTACGAAAATGCTGAACTTGTGGACATGGTTCTTATTTACGCGGATCGGTTTCCCAACGAGTGCAACCAACCCCTCGTGCCTTTGTTAATGTAGTGCAAAGAGCTCGTGAATCAGGTGACTTAAGACCTCACAGAGGAGATCATGCCGGTGCTCCAAGACCACACGATCAAATAGAACTAGAAGAACAAATTTTAGAATTAGTAAGTGATGATCCAACAGTAAGCACCCGACAAATTTCAACTCAATTGGCGATTAGTCAGTATAAAACTTGGAAAACTCTACGTGAAAATCAGTTCTATCCGTTTCACATACAAAAAGTGCAGGCTTTACAACCGGAAGATCATGAACAAAGGGTTGACTTTTGCAATTGGCTTTTAAATAAACATCAAAATGATGACAATTTTTTAAATCAAATTTTAGTGAGTGATGAAGCCCTCTTTACTAGAAACGGAATTATTAATTCACGTAATTCTCGCGTTTGGGCTATTGAATATCCCCATGAAATAAGGGAAACCAATTTTCAACAGCGATTTGAACCAATCAACCTGTGGGCGGGAATTGTTAATGGAATTTTAGTGGGGCCTTTTGAATTACCAAATCGCTTAACTGGTGAAAATTATTTTGATTTCTTGCAACACAATTTGCCTGGTTTACTGGAAGATGTGCCTTTAAATATTAGACAAAACATGTGGTTTTTACAAGATGGGGCACCACCCCATTATGCAAGAAATGTGCGTGAATTTTTAAATAGACAATTTAATAATCGTTGGATCGGCCGTGGCGGTTTTGTACCTTGGCCGCCAAGGTCTCCGGACTTAAATCCTTTAGACTTTTGTTTGTGGGGTTGGCTAAAAACTCTAGTGTATAAAACACCGGTTAATACACGCGAAGAATTACGTGCTCGAATTGAGGAAATGAGTACAGTGATCAGAAATCAACCAGTGATTTTATTGCGTGCTTGTAAAGAGACATGGCTAAAACGCGCCCAGCTGTGCGTCGAGCAAAACGGAAATCATTTCGAACAGTTTTTGTGACATGCTTTTGGGCGCACAGGTCCGCACTGAAATACTTGTCGGGAGGATACTTTATAAAACAAGGTAACATTTTTTTTTTTAATTTTTTTTTATTTTTACACACATATTTTGGTTTATCTTCCTTCTACAATCATTATCTGAAAATTAATGACTCAACTTCAAAGTCACCCTGTATATATATATAACAAAAAATAGGAAAATGATTATTTTCTCTTTATATATATATATATAACATTTAGGCCCAATTTCACCAACAACAGTCTGTTATTCTCCACCTATAGGGTAACAGACAGTCAGATACAGCGAATGAGCTTCAAGTTCCAATCAACAAATTTTAGCAGCCAATAGCTATGAAATGTTGAAAACAAAATACTATCAAAGTATGAGATGACAACTTGTCATTGAAATATCACCAGCTTATTGAATATTAAGAAATTACATATAATTCAGTCAAAATTTTAAGAAATGTTTAATTACTATTGTTGATTTTTTATTCATGTTGATATTATTTTCTTCAATTGATATGTGATACTGGGTGTTTTTTCCTATAAACCTCTTGCAGCAGGCCATTAAGCACCTACTTGATGACAGGCTCTACCAAAAGATATTGCTCGTTTCCAAACATTCATTCATCAGAACCATTATGGCACCTTAGATTGATATTCCCACAAAACCATTCAGGTTTTTTGATATCCATACATCCATAAAGTTGAATATTTTTCGTTGTTTAGGAGCTGAACAAATATCCGCACTATATTCACAGCGATTAATAAATTCCCAAATATACGCCTTAAAGCTACCATCAAACCTAAAACCTGCAAAGAAACTACAAATTTGCCATATTTTTCTTTTTTCACGAGTACACATTCTAGGTTATATTTATATTAGACATTATTTGAATACAGCTGATTATTGCATTTCAAGGAGTGACACATGTGCGGAATCTGTCAACTCTTGATACCAGTCACCAATCACAAAACATATTATACTCTGCTCCATGCTATTCAATGACAACACGGTGACTTGTGTGGTTATCAGCGGCCATTTTGTGAGGGTACGACCGGGTTGCCAGATTGTGCATTAATATCCCGTTTCACCCTCCTGGTCCCAGTGGAGTAAGTTCCGCCAACTGTTGAAATATACTCTACTATGCTTTATAAGACTATTCGTGACATTTTTCCCAAAATCATTGCACAACACTTGAAAAAATGAAAATGAAAATTTAAAATTATTTCCTTGACGCCGCAATATAGCTTCGTGGGTACCTTGGGTTATACATCTTGACAGTTGGGATGTTCGATACGATCCTATATTTAGAAGTATCAACACATTCCACGAGTAGTAGTCATCTTTAGATCCGGACTGTGTCAGAAAGAGTTAGTGCCATTTGGCTGCGACATTACCCTGCCAAATCAGACATATCATTCATCAATTTCAAAGAAATTGTACAAAATCTTCAAATTTGTGAAGTTAGCGAGTTTCACTTCATACGTTGTTACCAGACATGCCCAAATCATCAGTTGCTGCCGTGATATTCATCCCGACCACTGCATCCCCACGGCTAGGCGACCTGTATGTTAAATTTGTATTGATAGGGTAGCGGGTTATGCTATAAATCATTTGTCACACTATTTGTGCACTGATTGCAACGGTTAGATGATACCAAAAATATTTTCATAAATAGGAGATCTTTCCCATTCCGGATCGAACAATCTACCAGAGATGCTTATAATCATGATACCTAGTAAATTTTCACGAAAAAAATTCAAAACCAGCAAATGTAAAAGATTCATTTCGCACCCTCCACCACGGGACGTGATCGTCGTTAGACTTGGCAACCCTACGAGTGTCAGATAGATATCCCCGCCAGTCAAAAAAGAAAAATAGACAAACAATAAACATTCTGTGAAACATTTTTCATAATTTTTTGTCTTTGTCCATAGTAATTGCGTTATGCATCAGGAAGATGTAGGGATTGACACGTCTTAGACATATCATCTGTGTTTTAGGATGGAGAGGACATAATGTTTTTATTGCTTTGAAGAAATTCATTAACCCATAAATTAATAAATGATTACTATTATGACGTAAAGGAAGATGAGGAATTGGATGGAATGTATTTTATATTCTATTTTCTTGCAAAATACAGACAAATCCACACTATTCAACAGGTATGTAATGATAACTTTCAATATACAGGGTGACTTTGAAGTTGAGTCATTAATTTTCAGATAATGATGGTAGAAGGAAGATAAACCAAAATATGTGTGTAAAAATAAAAAAAAAAATAAAAAAAAAATGTTACCTTGTTTAATAAAGTATCCTCCCGACAAGTATTTCAGTGCGGACCTGTATTTGATCGTGCGGTCTTGGAGCACCGGTATGCTCTCACCTGTGAGGTCTTAAGTCACCTGATTCACGAGCCCATTGTACTACATTAACAAAGGCACGAGGGGTTGGTTGCACTCGATTGGGAAACCGATTCGCATAAATCCGTGATGCATACGGCAGCATTTTGTAAAGACTACCCCCCCGTAAATAAGAATCATGTCCACAAGTTCAGCATTTTCGTAAACATGTGCCATTTTTCATTTCGTTTGAGTCACGCAACAAACATCACTATTCACCCACGCGTTACCGACTGTCTAAAAACAACGTGATAAACGTTTCAAATTCTTTCGCTTTTTTGTTTCCGATGCGATGAACCGATATCCGTTGTTGCCAAACACATAATATTATTATTGAGACAGGGCGGTACTCAAACTTCTAAAGGGCTGTAACTTTGTTACTTTAATTTTACCAGAAAAATGTTAAAGGAAAAAACATTTCTTTTGATCAGATCTACTCACTGTTAAAATAAATGGCTCAACTTCGAAGTCACCCTGTATTGAAGTTGGTAAATTCAAGAGTGCCATGCATTAACAAATGTCCAAATCTGCTGCCAAATTTAACAGCTGGAAAATCGACCTATTATTTGCCTCATTCCCATTCGTTGAGGGGGATAACGGATTGTTAAATGTAAACCTATAACATATATCAAAATACATGAAAGTTGTCCTATTTTTTCTGTACAAAAGCATCAT